TAACAAGAAACAAAACGTGTAAAAGGTTTGGCACGATCGACTGAACTATCATTATCAACCACCAATCGAAAAACCTTATCATAACGGCACTACTTAGTTTTTAAGATACTCTTTACTTCCGTACCACACCGAGTTGTCTTACTTATATTTTATTGAAGCACTAGCATTCGCCCGAGGCCTCACCTGCGAGGTGGATAAATATTAAAAGCATTAACACGTAGTTGATCCAGACTAGGTAACACCTATCTACATACCTACTTCATCATCATCATCATCATCATCAGCCTGTTGTCGTCCACTGCTGTAGGTACATAGGCCTCCCCAATTGCATTCCACTGAGCTCCATGTTCAGCTCTTCTCATCCAACCACTGCCAGCCACCCTGCGGATGTCGTCAGTCCACCTAGCTGGAGGGCGCCCTACACTACGTTTGCCTAGACGTGGTCGCCACTCTAGAACGTTTTCCTAGCGGTCATCGATTCTTCGACAGATGTGACCTGCCCACTGCCACTTCAGTTTGCTAATCCTTTGGGCTATGTCGATTATTTCGTGAAAGAATAACAAACATACATTCGTAGTAGGATAGTAGGATAGGAGATGGGATAGTAGGATATTCTCAAATATTATTAGTAGGATAGCACCACGATAGTGGGGTTACCTACCTTCTTGATTATTCTTTGTTCTTTTACAACGTTGCATGTTGTAATTGTTTTAATTTTAATTTTATTACTTGCTTTTATGTTCTTACATTTTTTAAATTAATATATAATTTTATAGCCATATTGTTTTTTTAATTATTATGTATGTTATGTGTCTTTTGTTGCAACGAATAAATCATTAATTTAACTAATTAAATGTATTTAAATTAGTCCACCAATTTAAATGTCAAAAAGATTAAAAAAACATCTTGAAAGAGATTTTTTGCATTCGGATAAATATAAAAAATTTGTTACCAAAATAATGTACGGTTTACTAGAAAACAGCTCTCAAAACAAACAAGTTATAGGCGGATTACAAAATCCCAAATCTACACATAATTTTGGATGATCAGTGTTGCCATACAAAACTATGCATAATTTATGAGGCATGTAACACCGTCCTAGCGCGTCTGGACAAGGTCGCGCTGATGACGTGCATTATTTTATCTGCGGCTAACACAGCGTACGCTAACATTTAGATTATTGGATCGGCTATCCGATACGCTTCTATGTAAGTGGGACAATCTATCCATGTTATCACCTTATCGTGATCTGATAATCTTCAATGTACAAAGTAGAAGGTTTTGGCAATCTTCGTTTTTCTTTAAGTCTTGTTTTAGTTGTAGCTCAAATCAGATTCTACCGAATGTCGCATAATACCATGTTCAGAAAGTCTCACATCTAAGTCTCAGTTTCTTCAAAAAGACAAAATCAAATCATTTAAGTTACCTTTAATGTACAAAATGAAAGGTTTGCCAATATTCCGTTTACCAAAATTGGAAAACATCGTTTCGTCTATTGTTAAGTTTTCTTTTCTTTTCAGCTTAGAATCTACTGGACGCTACATAGAAATTTGCTCAAAATGATAAATAAAATTGAATGTGGGAGAGCCACGCTTCGGCACGAATGGTTCGGCTCGACCGAAGTGATACCACGGCCTCACAGAAAACCGGCGTGAAACAACCACAGCGTTGTGTTTTGCCACCGTGAGTGAGGTTAAAGGAGGCCCAACCCTTCCCCTCCCCTAATCCCTCCTCAATCCCTAAATCTCCAAATCCCTAAACCCTACAAGGTCGGCAACGCACTCGTAACTAGGTACACTGTTGCGGTGTCCATGGGCGGCGCTGATTGCTTACCATCAGGTAATTCGTATGCTCGTTTGCCGATCTATTACATAAAAAAAATGTAAACCTACACATCCCATCCTGGTCTCCTATTTCTTCAAATAGGTCAAAAGACAAGTAATTTATGTCAACTTGACCATTACAGACACTTTTGAAAGTCAAAAAATATAATAAAATACTGATAAAAGTTTCAGTCTGTCAGTCAGTCCTCTAGTCTATTTGCTCGTTCCAAAGTGTAATTCCTTAAGGTCTGATTTTTCAATGGTTGGATAAAAATTACCTGGGGAATAATTACGATGTTGTCGTGCAGAATGTTTGTATGAGACAGTGCATGCAACGATTTTATTCCTCAGATAACATTTATCTGACTGTTGAAAAATCAGCCCTAAGAAATACAACTTTATAAAGTGGAATCAATGAAAACAAAAGACAAATATCTTGATCTAAATACATTTTCCTCGTGAAAGTAATACTCATTTAAAAAAAAACAATAATAATGAAGATTAAGTAAAAACGTCACAAGATGGGGAATGTGCGATTATCAAATAATTATCTGTTGATAAGCATAAAATGGAGTAAGTAGTTCTTTGCGACTTTCATTCAATCGCATTATATGCAAATAGAATTGAACAAATGAATAAACGTGAATTAAAGAGTCGTTGATCTGTTCGATTTTCAATACGTGAAAGTTGGGTGGTTATTTGACGTTTTTATGCAAAACTGCTATACGGATATTGATAGAATTTAATGTTCAGATATATTTCGTTCCATAATTAGAGACAACATTTTGACAACAGGAAATGTCAAACTACAAAATAATGTGGCCAGATTTTTTAACATAGTGATGGGCCCGAGTACGATGTTTTAAATAAAATACCGATACCGTTTTTTTTATAAAATACCCTGAGCAAAATAAAACAACGTTGCGGTGATGTTTTTATAGTTTAGTGGAATTAATAATAATAATTTCAAATAAAAATGCCAAATCCAAGACTGGCTAAAAGAAAAATATTATATTTGAGGAACCTATGCTGAAAGCCGAGCTGTTGGAGATTTCAAGGAAAGAGAAGAGTAATTATGAACGATACGTCGTGGACTGATGGCTGCTAAAAGGTGGGTCACTATTTTACGGTTGCCTCCTTACCATTGTGATATTAACCCGACTGAGTTAGTATGGGCACAGGAAGGTACCAGGGAAAGTAGCTAAAAATAATAAAGCTTTTAAAATGCACGAAGTCCAGAACTTAATTTCGGTCTTTCGGTAAATACCGGTCGCGGGACTTCACTATTTATGAAATGGAAAAAACTTGCAACACTCGAAATGTCAAATCGTTGTCTCTAATTATGGAACGAACTATAGGTCCTAATTACCCAAGTCTGTGCCACACTTACTAACGACATGTCACTCAAAATCAGAACATTGAGTCTGACCTACATTCTAGTAGAGAATTCAGTCAAGGCGAATAGAAAAAATATGTTTAGGGTTGAGCCCAGACATAATCGTGCCTACTTAGCGTGTCTAATGCCTAGACGCATAAATAAAATTTGTAGGTCTTTCAATGTCGCTATTTTCGGCTAGACTAGACCAAAGAACATGGTTGGATTGTTATTTTTTTTCAAATAAAGCCTCGATCACAGAATACCTGCTTACTAAATTGGTGTTAGATCTCTTGGCAGATACGTTTAGGTAGGACAGAAATTATAACTTCGAATTGCTTAGTAAAAAAAGTTACTTAGGGTGCTATTTCTGCCGACAAATCGATTTTCATCATGATCCATAAAGCATTGCATTAGTTTCAATTGTTTTATTATCACGAATGACAAGCCACAATTTTGTTCGACCTAAAATGGTCTAAATCTAAATTCTTTGAATTCACTTCCATCGAGATGGATTTTTGATATTAGTTATAAGGAGTATTTGTTCATTTTCAGCTAATTCGAAGTTAAGATTTACATACAATCAATGATATAGTATATTTACAGATATGTTATAAGCGCACAAAAGTGAAGACTCAAAAAGGATACAATTGTATGCAAGTGCAATTAGTCTCTCTTAGAATATTGTTTGTTTACGTTGAGTACGTAATTAATAAGAATAGCTTATTCGTTTTTTCTTGTTGGATTTATCATACTATCCTTTTTCTATAATTTTAACTTGTAGTAATATGTACAATTAATAAACATGTGAGTGTGCTGACGCTTGGCGCAGATCACAACTTTCGTGGGTTTCGTGAGCGTATAACATATCTGTGTTAATATAATATCATTGCATACAATATACATATCCAGATATTTGGATTAAGTTTAAAATTTAACCCTTTTATTACCACTACGATTTTCACAATGATATCTCGGAAGCCACTTACATTTCTAGTACATTTACGTGAACTAACCGGGCGAGTCCACGGCGCTGAAATAAAAATTACGTGGACTCTCTGGGCGAGTCGGTGGCTATGAATGTGTAAAATATATTAGGTGTATTGTATTCAATTTTATAATAGTTATTTCGATTACACGTCTATATCAATAATCTTTGTCCGTGGCTAGAGAATCATTTTATTTTCCACGCACACAACAAATGTACCTATTTTATTTATTAGAAAACATACGCAATTAGTATACCGTATCTGGTCGGTGAGACTTCACTTGTATAGAAATTCGCTCTCACGAGATATATACATTTTCCGGAGTAAAAAACCTATGGGTTATTCCAGATGATAATCTACGACTCTTGCATATTTCATTTAGAAAAGTGCAGCTATAAAGGCATGTCCACGTTACAAGCACAGGTATTTGTCGAGGACGGGAAGATACAATGGTGCATTTAAAAAATGTTAAAGACAGGGGGATTCTTCAAAAGTCTTTTTAAATTAGACTAGATTTTGGGGAGGTAAACTAGAAAGTGTGGGATATTCACGCTATTAAAACCAACTTTAGTTGCTACTATCAGGACCTATAGGGACCAAGGAGTTCCCGGGTTTTCTGAATAGACTAGCTTCAGTGACCTTGGCTGTGCAGCATCAGTTATGGGACGTCTCCCGCCACTATCTTTTGGCCTTTGATGATGTAAATAGGTTTTGTCAACCCCTAATAAACATCGACTTTTATGGTATCATCGGGTTTAGAACCATACACTTAAACTTTCACATTTATAAGTATAAGATTAGTTGATTACTTACCATTTTCATTAAGTGAATGGTTAGGCGTAGCACCCATACTCGAGCTGGAACCTTTCAGTATGGCGTTGTGTTGTCGTAAGTTTTCCAGCTCAACTGTAAATAAATTTTAGTATAAACGAAAAGTAGTGAACACGGTATCTGCTGATATAAACCTGCCAATTTAGATATCCCAGGTCCAAATCATTCTCAGCCGGGGTTGCGGGACCAGCGCAATAAGTCACCACGGCGTCGGTCTAAAGCAGGAGAAGGAATGGGGAGGTTTTTAGACAATAAGAGTCTGACACTCCCTCCCGCCCCACCCTGGGCGGGAGAAGTCATTTGATATTTTCCCCTTACAAAAAAATCTTTCGCAACTAACCTACCTTCGAATCGAAAATAGTCTTCTTCAATTTTTTGTGACCCTCGACCCTGAGTAATTAAGTATTTTTCCAATGAGGACTTATTACATTTGCAATTTCTCACGTGAATAAATCGAGAAGAGCACTACTAGTTTCCAGTTGCATTCACAGCCGGCTGCGAAAAAAACTCAATGGGTTTGTATAAGGAGCAGTGTGGTTTTTAGTCAGTAAGAGTCTGACTTCTCTCTCTCACCATGGGCGAGTTCCCCTCTCGCCTTACCCTGGACGAGAAAAGAAATTTGGTTTTTCCACCTAGTTTGTCTTAGTAACAACGGTAGGTATCGTACTAAGACAAACTAGTAGTTTTTTCCTTAGTTCATTTACGTGAGTAAGTAGGTATTTTCGATAAAGTTAGTTTGTCTCACGATAGTTCCAATTCCATAATTTGGACTTTAATGGTATTTTGAACAATCGAACCCTACCAATTTTTAGGTGGTGATTTTATGTGATTGGTTGGGAATTATTGTAACCCGGCCGTTTTTTCGTCTAATTTGTAAAAAGTAGGTATACAAGTTGGTAACAAAAAAGTCTAAAAAGCTTGCTATTAAAGTAACTGATGAAAACACCTTGTTGTATGCTTATTTGAGGATTTAATGGGGCAATTGTGAGGCAAGTGTTCTTTGTCCATATTGCTGATCAAAATCTTCAAACATTGTGTTAGAACAATAGGGCTCTGGTCTCGATCTAGGCTTTAGAAAAAAGCCAAATACAAAGAGTTTATGTAGGTAGTTGCCCTATATCTAAACAAGATGTAAAAATGAAGAAAAGAAAAGCATCATTAAGCTAACCTAGGTTAGGTTAGCTTAATGATGCTTTTCTTTTATGTATTTAATACCACTCCGTCCCGTCTCCTGCTCCAGGCCGGGGCGCGGTACCTTTTGCGCTTGCTTTATTTAAATGTCAATAGTTATTTAACTAACTTGGCTAATGTAGTCCAATAAACTTTCTTATAACATTATTGACATAAAATCATGTTGATGACCAATTTTGTTTCCAATGTATAAAAGAGGAAAGTTAACGTAAGTTAAGTAATAGAGGTGCTCTACCGGAGTTATTCCGCGACCTCACAGAAAACCGGCGTAAAACAAATACAGCGTTGTGTTGCGCCGTATGGGTGAGTTTACCAGAGCTCCAATTCTTCCCTAAATCACCAAAAGGTCCAAAAGGGCAGCAACACACTCTTATGTTGTTGCAAATGTCCATGGGCAGCACTGATTGCTTACCATCAGGTAAACAGACCGTTCGTTCACAGTCCTATCACACAAAGTAAAGTATTTGAGCCCAAAACTTTAGTGCATTATAACATAATTTGTATGTGCCCATATCCTTGAAAAACATACTATATTTGGTTGCAAATACCACAGAATCCGAGTAAACATGTTGTAGGTAATTGCAGTAAAGGAAAATGCTTATGAATAATAATGAGTTCATTGTAACGGCTAATTATTGTATAAACAGACACATGCTAACTGTTCTTGTTGTAAAAACATTATGATTATAATGTGGGCAGTCAACGATATTTACATGATTTGAATAGTTGTTAAATCAGGTGAGATTTTGCTTTAAACTTAAAGAAAGGGATGGGTTTTGAGCTATTTATTAACAGAATTTTATTATGTTGACCTGTAATGAACTAGTTATGAAATGAAATCTAAAAGCAGTTAACTACACATACTTATAAACTGTTGTATCAACTTAAAACTTGGCCATAAGGCAAAGCAAGATATTTATAAATTAGATGGCTATAACATACCCTTAATATAATGGTACTATCAAGCTGGTTTGGTGATGGCGTTGGAAGGTCAATAGTTGAACCTTAGGACATCTACTTGTACTAAAATATGTGTTGAGTTTGGAATATGTCCATGTATTCTAATAAGATTATTATATAGTAATTTGTCACCACTAAACACATTGGTCATTACAATTTCTAATGATGTTAATACAAAGTTTCTATTTTGATAATGATAAGAAACAAAGTTATTTATTTATACTATTGTATCCTGTCCTCTGGGTATAGACTAGGTCAGTCAGACAATGGACTTGAAAACTGAGCACATTATACTACATACACATAGTTCTTGTTCCTAGACAAAGACACCTTATTAGGCTTTCATTTGTTTTGTTTCATTAAAATAAATTACATTGGAACTACATGCAGAAATCATAGGATTTGAGAGTGTTTTTTCTTGAATGGCAAATATGAAATGCTTCTGTTTCAAGCTGATAATGTAGGACAGCCCGCGGCCCAGAGCAGGAGAGGGAACAGGGTTGTTTTAGCCAGTAAGAGTAAGACTCTCTCACTCACCCTACCTAGGGTAGGAAAAGTAACTGGATACGAATTTCAACCCCCAAAAAAAGTAGGCTATAGCTATCTAAGTTCTTTTAAAACACATATTCATTGGTGATAATTGCCAAAATATGTGAAATTCTACTAATATTAAGCTGCGGACAAAAAGCAGTCAAAAACAGTATCTGCCAAATACCGAGTAGGTTAAGCATTCCAAAAAAGAAACTGTTTCAAGAAATATGGTGACAATATTAAGTCCTATGTGAGACGATTTGATTATTATCATATCCTTGAAAATTCTTTGTGTGGGAGATTAAAATGTAGGTGTAGTGGTTTGAAAGGATGACCTTAAGCGCATGTAAGTACATGGTAGGTTGTGGGTTGATTTGACTAATATGTGTAAGGAGGTTTTGTGTTATGCAGTTTTGTGCTCAAGGTTCTTTTAAATTTAAATTAGGAATGTGAAGTTAGATGTTAGAAAAGTGTGTTATGTAAAATGCTACCTAATCTATATACAAACCTAATAATTGTTAGTATTTTTTTTTATTGGATTATGAGTAAAATATAATGTATACTTATGCTGTTACCTTTAATCTAGCAGGCTCATAGACTAAATGAATTAGCTCCTAGGTCATTTTTAAAGAAGCTATATCAAATCTTCATTAGGAGTCTACATAAAACAATAGGGAACAATATCAATTGGTGTATTAAATGACCATATTAACTTCTTACCTTTGGTATCCATTAAGTCTTTACTCAGTCTTTCATTTGCCATTTTCAGGGAAGATATTTGGTCTAAGAGACATGTCAGGAGTCTACTGCCAACTTGACTGCCAGACATGTCAGAACTTGCTTCTGATCCAGAGTCCACATCTCCATTGGCAGGCCTCGCTACATCCGGCAGTCCTCTCACACAAGGGTCACTGAACCTCCTAGCATTGCTCCCTTCATCCTTCTCATTCAAATTAATCTCACTGTTGGAGTTTGTGTCACCAACAGACGTCACTATAGGGGGTAAACTAGCAAAATCCTGGCTGTCAGTCAAATTCTTTGGTTGCAAATAATTCATGGCGTGCGAGTGGGTCGGGGTCCCTTGCCGAGAGGCGCTGCTCACCTCCTCAGCCTTGTTCTCACTGCGGCGCCGCAGTCTCGGCCTCTGTACTTGAACGCTTTTGTTTACATTATTCACATACCGAAACTCAGGCCCATAGAATGGCATCATAGGTGGGTTGCAGTATGAAGGCAGCGTGGGCAGAGACATCGGCTCAGGTCCACATCCATACATGTGTCTGTAAGGATCGTAGCCGGGAGCGAACTGAGAACTACCCATCACATACTGCAAATTCGGATTTACATAAGTATCGTAGGTATCCATGCTAGGTGTCGACTCTTGTATGTGGTGCATTGTCTTATCTAACCATTTTGATAGGTAGGAGCCTCTGCTCCCACGAGATTTCTTCCGCTTTCCCAGGGAGCCGTTACTATTCGACGGTTTGCCGTTCACTTGTTTTGGTGTAGTAGCCATTAATGTCACTATTAACCACTTGAACACAGTTACGAAACACAACAACCGAACTTCAACTCCTACTTCCCAAATTCAAGACAATAATATTTTCCATTTACGCTGAATAATTCAAAACGCGCACAAAAATAATTTTATTCAATTCGACCGACTTGGGCAATGAATTATAAATGACGTTTACTGTCATTTTGTTTTTGTAATTTCTAATACAGATTAAAAATATGAAATAATAATACGTAGGTTTCGCGTGATTTTATTATTTAATTTTGATTTTAATTTGATCATCGCATTAAAATACCAAATTTTATGAATATTCCAAGCATAGTTGTATTCAAACTAATTATGTGAAAAATGCAGTAACTGCCATCTATGATTTCATACACGTACTTTACAAGAGCAAAGTGTTGGTGTTGTTTTACTAATACCATAGATGTCGCTACTTGTCTTATCAGAGAATTTATAACCGTACTATTTGTTATATATATTTGAGGTCTCCGGTCTCCATTTAAAAAGTACTTATTAATTTTACTTGTATTGATATGAGATTGTCTCAATCCTATAGGTAATTAGATAAGTCTGTTTAATTAGACCATGCTAAACTACATAATTATGTAGTTTGATTCGTACTGAGTTAGTGCTGACCACAAGTGTTTTTCATTACAAGTTATAAGATGCTATACTCCCTTTTTTCTCTCTTAATTATAATTAGAGATTTTTATACAGAGTATAATTATACCAGTCCCATCGTATCTTGTAATCTACTTACTTCACTCCCTTATAGTTGGACGACTTATTGTTTTGTAAGTAGTCACATTTATTTATGTTGATTTTTTGTTTTTATTGTTTACATCGAAGGAAAAGGATCTCATATCACTAGAGCTAGAAGGTTTCCTCTAGTAAGATCATGTAAGTACTAAACAAACTAACGTAATTACCTATCGGAAATAGAATTATCCCTGTGATAAGAATTAAAACAAGCATAATGCAATGACAGAAATTTATTCTCTAAATATATAAAACAATTTGATTTATATTTACAATTTAATTTTAATTTTTTTCTTTTATTTTCAATAAAAATCGGTGTGACTTTACGAGATGAATTGGGACATTTGTGAAAAACAAACAGCTAAAGGATATGTAAACTTTTTACAAATCCTATGGCACATTGATGGAAATAAGATAATATATTTTTATACAGATACAACACAAAAAAATGTACAGAAACAACGAATGTTGGCAGTAGTCACTTATATCAGAAATACACTTAAAATAGTAAAAATTATAGTTATAATTGTTACTACAACAAACTCGCTCTCAAAATGGTAATATTGGATTAACAAAATACTTAAGCACTAGGTAATTTTATATACTTTATTTTTCTTTTTATTATAACCTTATAAATCAAATTGATCAAATTATCGATATTTAACAATCCCGTCCTAAATTATAATTTTATAGACTAAACATTTTTTGTAAATAATCTATCGAGATTTAAAATTATAAGAAAAAAATAATTGCATTAATTTATTTAATGATAGAAGGTTTACTGATTGTACTTAATATGTACGGCATGTAACGTAAACGTTTCATTTGCTGGAAACGTCTAAAACAAGAACTTTTCTACCTAACATTAGGTAAATAATATAAACTTGGTATTATGTGCCTAAGAAAAATCAATTCAACCTCGCTCTATCTATCACAAAGTACCGAAATTTCAAAAAACCCTGTCTTAACAAAACTATTAATTTTAATCTTTTGGATTAAAAACTAATATTGTAAAACAGTTTTTAGTCAAGAAAGCTGTTTGTGAAAAATAGAGGTAGGGCGAATTTATATATTTTTTTTATTTGATTGCCATAAAACAAACACATAAATATTATTCGAGTGTGCGTGGACCTCAAGGCACCTTTCGAAATCATGTTCAGAAATTAAATTGTGCATATATGACACAAGGCAGTGGGTAGCGAATAAATAAATAGTACATTTGTTGCATGAAACATTAATACGCAGAAAAACAAGTGTACAAGATTATGATTCCTTAATACTAAATGAGTATACGGTTTGATCATACAATATAAATTAAAAGACTTACATAGAATCGCTTAACGCTATTTATAAATCTTTCTTTGAGAAATGTTCAAATGATTCTATTTAATGAAATCTTTGCCGATTGTAAAAATATATGTACTAAACTATATCGAATACCGTAATCCAATTTCTTTTATTGATACATAATATTACTTATTTCTTTCTATCTGTGCGAAAAAGCAAACAAGACAGAAATAAATTGAGTTATGTAGGTGAAAATTTAATTTACACATAAGTATTTCTAATAAAATTTTATTACATTTTGTATAATATATCAAAATTCATAACAATTTCTTTGTAAAAATTATTGACACGTACATAGCACATATAATTCTGCCTCGTTTCTTAACGCTACATCATATATAATTATAATTATATAGAACTAATTATGTAAACTATGATATAGCCAAACAGACGTTCAACAAATATATCTAGATACATACAAAATACATATAGTAATTCATTAAAACGACGTACACAATATATAATAATAATCTGCTAATCTAAGTCACATCGTTGCACACCAAGGATTCCACGCATACCGAATAAAATTACTTTTCAAGTGTGAATTATTTATGAAAACGTTTTGCCAGGCGACGAGTTGCGTCGGTACAATGAAATATCGCATGGAATCCCTTTGGCTTGTATTGTGTCTCACCCTTTGACCCTGCATACATACGAGTGATTTCAAAAAGAATAAACAGCAACTAACATTTCTATTGGAATGTTTGTGTGAAGAACTGAATTCTAAAATGCTATTTTAGTTAAATTCCAGTATTCAATCAATACACAACTGTTCCAAGGGAAATAGGGAAATCACTCTGGAGCCTCCTTCGAACGCAGTGGTGTTATAGCTAAACTAGTTTAACGTCGTCTAGTGCGGTGAGGAGGTCACTGGCGCCCTGGATGATGTCTGACTCGTTCCAGAAGTCGTTGGTAGTCAGGGGTACGTTGTTGTCGAGCATGATTTCTGGGGTTTGAAGGGGGAAGTTAGGGCTGGGTTGCATTTTGTTGTTGAGGTAAGGGTCGCAGCCCTGCATCACGCCGACTGGAGACACCATCCTGCTTCCTGGGCTGTATTGAGGGAACTTACCTACGGGGGACATGGACTGAGGAGTGTACGGACTCATGACGCGGTCCCTCTGAGCTGGGCTCATGGCTGGACTGTGCGTGAAGCTGTTGGGGCTTGAAGGTAGGGAATACATGGGGCTTACATTTAGACTCAGTGGGGACATTGGGCTGCTAATATTGGATCGGATGACGTTCATTTGAGGGTTATTGCGCATCATTTGCTTATTTGGCATGCCTTGTAATAGGTTTATTACGGGGAGTGGGATGTTGTTCATGTTGTTATTCTGTGGGACTGGTTGCCTAGCCATTTGGTAGTTGGGGCGCCTTTGTGGGGTCTGTTGTGGGCGTTGCTGTGGCAGGTCCTGGAAACATACGGAGAAATGTATTAGTAAAGAGCATTAATTCCAAAGAAATAAACTGTGATAATTTAAACAGTGTTCAAAGATTCGCATAGTCGGAAAATTCTGAAAAGAAACAAAAAAATATTTGTTACGAAAAGGTGCTCGTTGCTTTGTGAGAAAAGGACAAAGTATCAGTTTTAACCTTGACAGTGAAACAACTCAGCCTTAACAAATGCTTTAGTACGGTACAAATTTACATAATGTTGGAGTCGAGAGCGAGATTTGGACAAACGTACCTACATTGTTATGCAAACATTGCTGTAGTAAACAAACGGAGTAATTTATTTTCTGACCACGTGACTAAGTTAGTAGGTAGATCGAGAGATCTATTAGACTCGACATTAAAATTTATGATCATAGAATTGAGCTAGTCTTCGTCTCTTGTTGTGAATAATTGACGAAAAAATAAATGTGCTTATACTCAATTTTAGACACTTAAACAATAAATGAAATGGCTGGATGTCAAATAATAGAAAGTATCTAGATTGTAACATTCGCATCTAAAATTCGGTTCATAAAGTCATAGAAATATAGATTATGTCGATTTATTTATTGAAGTAGGTACTAGCCGAGTTCATAGTTCATATATTCTTGTTTTCATCACAATCCGAACTTTATTCCAGAATAAACGTTTTAACTATCTCTGACCCAAATTTCACGTAGATCCGTTTAGTCGTTTTGGTGATTGCATGGAACATACCTATTCATCCATCGTTTCACATTTTATAATTCTTTGCCTTCTTCAAACCCCGCGGCCCCGTCCAGTTAAGTTAATAGTCTAATTTAAAAGTAGTTTAATATAATTTGAGGTGGACAAGCTAGTGGTGCACTGCAGTCAAAGTGTATTGATCGATAAATAATAAGTAATAACCTACTGACATAGAATAGTGGTATATGATTTTAATATTGTTGAATGCGGGCTCCTGATTGGCTGACGGTACCTATTGTTATATTGTTATCTTTGTTTTATTATTTATTACTAACTATATAATCAGAATCTAGTACTACTGAGTACGTAACTAGGGTTTAATTGGCTAGTTTTTATGTATTTTTTTTCCACATATAAAACAACAAAAATAGTGAATAACAATCACATCTGCATTCGTTTATTTTACAATATAGTACTTAATATTCTTTTTTTTTATTGTTAATTCAAAATAAATAAGTGGGTTATTTGACGTTAAAATATAATGGCGTCACAATGTGCTTTTTCATGCAAGAGTCATAAAAAGTTCTTGATATTTCAATAAACGTACGGTATTGAATTTGACTAGGTGGAAACTACCCTATTCTCATCTCGGTAGTATGCGACTTCTAAATTTTCTCGAATTTGTTTTATACCCTTTATCTTGTCCAACGACAATATTCTCGAATCTATGTGAACTAGTTGGATGAAAATCCTACCTATTACTGGTACCGAATCAAGTAAAAATCAGTAGTTCCAAAGTAGCTATTATAAGTAAAACTGCTTAAAAGACGATGTTAGGAAACCTTCTAACATTAAAACGTTACTTAGTTGGTATTCGCTTCAACCTGTCTGCCACCGGGATTACTAGTGCGTTGTTGAGCATTTGGGGATTGGAGATGGAAGGAAAAGACTGGGCCTGCAGCGACCTAACTTACACAGGGAAACACAACGTAGCGTTGTTTCACGACAGTTTTCTGTAAGTTAGTTAAGGCCTATTTGTGAACACATTTTTGAGCTGTGAATGTATTAAAGAAAGACCATATTTACAACCCTTTTAAACTGTACATCAGGTAACAGTTTATTATAGATCTTAATATCTTTATATAGATCTTAATATCACATTAAATGTGTCTTGGATATATCAAAGTTTGCGTCCTATTCTACACTACTATATACTAAAATACGGCGTCCATAAAAATGTTCTATTAGATTTTATTTCACATTTGAGTGCAAATTTTAGCACCACACATTGAACAGCCGTGCTTCATAAAGCTTTTAGGAGTAAAAAAATGAGATAGCAACGAAGCTCTTTTAGTATATTTAACACTTCTTTAGGCATATCTCCTATTGCTAGTCTGAGGTAATGGAATGCTATATTACATGAATCCTACATATTTCACATCGTACTTATACATATATTATAAACGTGATAGTTTGTGTTATTGTTATTCTTTCACGTAAAAACTACTAAACTGATCTGTATGAAATATGGCACAGAGAAAGATAGCCTGGAATAAAACATAATTATGCTACTTTTCTCTACCTGATTTCGTTAGTATAAATAATTTTCAGAACAATCAAATCGAATGGTATTATATCAACTTTCAAAATATTTCTAGTACCTTCCACTGACACTCCAACACAAACGCATTTTAGAAGACCTTGAAATCAGTTAAAATGAATGAATCAAGAAGCATCATTTATTTCAATCAAGACAGAAAAATACGTGAGTAACTTTGAGACTTGATACTTAGGAGCAGTAATTGCAGTATCCGGGACATTGTCGTACCAAATATCACGTGAACTGATCTTACTATCTTCCCGTCCCTTTACGAAGGATCAATATTAAATAGTTTCTTGCCATGAGATAATTTATAGTTACGTAAGAACAGGGCCAGATACTTGTGATAGTCGTAATATGTATCTGCACTAAACTTTGATCATAACGTAACTAGCATGCAGATTGCAGGCCTAAGAAATGGCTTATCGTAGAATTAATCTATGACGCTCTAGTCTAAGTCCCGCTTAGGAAAGTTTCAGAATGCAAAGAATTGGAGAAAAAAGAAATATATCGAGACAAGGGCTCAAGTCAAGCCGTTTTATAGCTCCACCCTATCTCAGGGCAGCCATAATGCTCCAAGGGCGAGCTTAGAAGGGATTTTTCTTTTACTTATTGCCCTTAAGACTTCCACAAACAATTTCGTCTCAATGCTAAAAAGTTTGTGTAACAATTTTAGTGAAAGTTATACGTATTCGGTAGTATTAAAATCCCGAGAGTCTGGAGGGAAATGGGGCTGTATTAATAATTCCTTGGTGTGATATTTGGGTAACTGATTTCGACAGTGATTTATAGTGGGATGAATATTACTAACAGTTTAGAAGAAAGGAAGACCAATAGCGTGGTGGCATGGAGGTTGAGGCGCCCGGTTCTCATGATGTTGGCGCAAAACCTGGCAAATACCAATGTGGCATCTTTCGAGTTATACTTATTCTTTCTAAGACTATGTTAATACCAGTAACAAATGGTTTAGTGAAAATAATGCGGGAAAACCTGAACTTTTAATATCTAGTTTGAAATAGCCAATCGCCGTTGAGAAAGCGTAGTGATTAATACTCAACCCTTCTCCGTGTGAGAAGAGGTCTTTACTCAGCAGTGGGCACTAGCAACTTGACGATTTTTATGAAGATAAATATATCAAGGATATTCCTATTACAATTATACATATGTATGTTTTCCTAAGTATAACAATTAAATTCAAAATAACAATTAGGTTACAAACGAATAGGATACGCGATAACCTCGAGTTTTCCATACTTTGTAACACAAATAGGCGTACGTAGTTCTTTTCAAAATGTTAATTTACGCAGATATTATTCATATGTTATCTATCGCTTTAGAAAACTGCTAGGCAGTGTAGGTTCTTGAAGACGAATTTGAAGCAAGGAAAATTTAATCTATGTATAAAATATTACTAGCGACCCGCTCCGGCTGCGCAAAGGGACAATGCTGATACTAAATTTCTCCACTATTTAATGGATGCACATATACTTAAAGCTTTCTCTTCAATTAGTCTATCTTTACAAACCGCATCTAAATCCTTTTTGCAGTTATAAAGATTTTTGCATACATAGCGATGTATACTTAATATCTTACTATATGCTTAGTACACTTAGTACATAGGGATATAGGGAGAGGCGGTCGTTTTTTTTTTAACTTTGTACTGATGATTACAATAGAACACTGTTCTTGCTATGTCTCAGATAACTAGTTGTTCCTTATAATATGAATTATATTCCTAAACTGCCATTCTGAACGAAAACTTGAATTGTTACTTAGTAATGATTCTGTTCTGAAGACAGTTTTTAAGTAACATTAAATGATTTCTAAGTACTGCGATAAAACTCCTTGTTAATAACTTAACAAATCAAGCTTAAAAATGCTACCAAAATATTTTCAATTAACCCCTATTCCCGGTATTTCTGTACTTAAGACTTAAGGAATTAAGTAAGATGCCGAAGGGAGATTACTGCAAAGCTTTTAGTTAGATTTTGGGTTTAAAAACTCTAAGTAATAGTAATAAAGTTTGTGTTTTTAATAACGAACATTTGAAAATTAAAATATTTTAATACTTCTTTCACATTTATAGACTAGAAATCAAATGGGTTAAACAAACTATGTAGGGTTGGTTTAATATCCAGTTTTATGCTCACATTATCAAAACTATTGAGCTAAAGTTACTGAATTATTCCTATGTAAACATTTAAATATAATTGGACATCAAAATTTCGTTGAAAACGTTCCACGTGGTCAGAATACTAAGAAAAAGCCTGCAAATATCATTTGTTTGCATTTTTCTATAGAAGGAATAATTTGAATAATATATTCTTGTATTCGCATTGCTTTTCCATATTGTTTGGTTAAAGAATATTTTGCTGTCTGCGTCATGAATGCTGCCAATTTTAAATTTAAATCGACAGTTTTCACACACAGCAATTTATTTCGTCCTTATCATTTTTTTTCGCATTTCGGCTTAATGTTTCACAGTTGGCTAAAACGCTGATGAAGGATCACAAGGATAGGATACAGGTAAATAAAAAATCAACGAGCACCATTTTTAACAGAACTATTTTTTCTCTTTTATTTTGTGATATTTACTCTGTCAACTTCACAAATATTTCACTTCTCACCACAAAAATAATTAACTCTCTAATTACACTTCGTCCATACACACTATAAATATATTAAAATAACGATGATAACTCATATCTATGCTTACGTCTTTTCAATTTCGATATATAGATACTGCTATGACAATTTCCAAGCGTTATTTTAATCTAGAAGTTCGAGTATCTCACAATTGCTTATATTTAGTTCATCGTCGAAGACTCGCTCGTATAAATACATGCTCACTGTAAATATAAAGGCATCGAAATGTTCCATAGACGAACGTAAACTGTAATAGAACTCTAGTCTTTGTTCAACTTGTACTTTGTATCATTTGGCAGTGAAATGTTGAGACATACTGCCTGGGACAACACGCTACAATAAACTCTAAACAAAATACATAACCTTCGGAACAATACAACAACATTACTAAACCTATACCGATGTGAAGTAAGATTACTCGTACTCGACTAACGTAACTTACAGTAACGAATAAATAGCGATAACCTCTGAGTACTGGGTTAATATTAAAACTATTAATATTGACTGGGTTCCAGCAACGAACATAAGACTGAGTGCGCGGCGGGCCTCTCGCGGTAACTAAGTAACCTAGGAACGATACCGATACTTCACATAACCAACACGATATGCACGTTCAACTTAACCACTAAACTCAACAAACGATTGCTTCAAATATACACCATTAACTAAATCGTAAGTTCGCTAAACCTAACAATCTAAAACTAATTCTGATACGCCTCGAGGCGCAAGCACGAGATTGCAAGACCGTGGAAGATTAACTAAGCTAACCAGCCCCAGCACTAAGTCCCCTCGACTGGTCGTCTCACGTAAATAGCCCTGCCTTAGCAGACGTTAATCTGGATCGCGCCTTATTGTCTCGTAGGGCTCCCGTCACTTACAATGCGACTTTCAGTCAGATACTGGTACATATATAGGGTAATATCACAAGTATCGACGGCACTGTAATTAACATTAATTCGTATTAACCGACCAGAAAGTTCTGTGAGATAGCACTGGTATACAGGCAAATAGTTTGAACACTGGACGCGCGTTATCACAGTTTATTTAGAGTCGTGGAGGCGATCGCCTCAGGCTTTTGCTTTTTGTCGCGGCCGGCACTGCACCATGCAGATGTAGCCAGCATCGACGTCGCAGCCGCTCACCAGGAGGTTCATGAGGACGCTGGACGACTGTGTCGGCGTCGTCGACTGTACTGGTGACGGGCTGCGCTTCACACGCTTTGCGCACGGCTCCTGCTCTTGCTTCATTACTCTCTTGACACCCGTGTCCCATGATGACACACTCCTGATTGGCAGTAGTCCTGTTGAAGGCATTTCTTATATTATAAACATCACATAAATCTAAATTGTAATAATTTCATATATCACTTGCAATGTCGTATATAATACCTTGGTCAGAGTAAATATTGGTTATGAGATCTTGTGGTGGTGGTCCCGTGGTGGTGGCCGTTAATAGACGTTGCAGCGCGGGGGCAGGGGAGGTGGTTTGCATTTCTGTGGGCTGTGGTCGTGCCATGCTAACATTGTCGGGCAAGGCACCCCACATAACTGCTGGTTCCAAGACCGGCAGCTCATCGCTAGCCGGGATGAAAGGCGAGTTTCCGTCATCAATGTCATTATCTGACCTGTTGCTGTCAAATGCATCGAGTGACAGCTCTGTTAGCAGCGAAGACTGTTCGCATGACGAATCATTTTCCTAAAAAGGTTAATATTATGAGAATCCACTGTAAGTAAAAGGAAAAAAATAATAAAACAATACTTAAGTAAACGTTGACCAACCTGTGATTCGGGAGAAGACAACAACAGTGAATCTGGCGTTAAAGAGTCTACCGGCGACGCGTTAGCCAGATCATCTCCCAGTAGGCTGCAGTAATTATCGTTAAGAATGAATTCGTCGAACATGTCGAAAGGACTGTTCTCTAGAGGTATACAAGCATCGCCAGCAGTGGGTGCCAAGTGTGTCAGATCTTCCGGCTCGTCTTTAAGCACTGTAAACAACACTCATGTTATTATCATATCAACAGCAAATGTATAGCAAAGCAATCCCGTCACATGACAGGAATCTAAAATAGCAACAACGGATACCTAAGCTTTGGAAGTTCTTATGCCACTCACTTGTAAGTCCCTCGTCTTGGGAGAACATGAGATAGCCTTTGTTCATTTCTTTCTTTCGCGGAGCGAATATGAGCTCTGTGACAGGTATAGGACGTTTCTCCTCTGGATTAATGATGGCGACTATTGCACCGTTTGGTGTGTGCTCAGATTGGTTCAAGGCCGACACAGGCGCGGGTACTGGTGGAGCTGGGGCCAGCAAAGGCTTCAAGTCCGCGTACTGCACTTGGTGTGCGGCGAACACGTCATCTTTGCACTCGATGCCACTGTGAAAACAAGGATCATGATAACACAATGTTGGCCCCACCGGCCTCGATGGCCATAGTGGGTATAAAGTGACATGGTCTACAGTCAACACGTATGAACATAAATGAGATGTACATCATACAAGTGCCTTGGTATAATGGACTATAAAGTAAACTGCACGGTCATTAGTCGAGAGAGAATCAAACATTCCAATGTTAATCGGTTTTGAATACATGTAAAAGCGCGGGAAGTGTGAATAACGAAGTACATAAGAACACTAGTTAGAACATCTTGGCGTCGCGGTGTAAGATATACAATAGCTTGTAATCAGTCAACAATATTCAAGGTTGACGTAGGTCTACACTACATGTGAGCTCGATGTCACACATTATGGTACAGATGGATAAACACTAATTTGTTTCACGTCTAGACTAGCCTCTGCCAATCGGTAGTTTATGCAAACCACATGATTCAGAACCACAAATAAGGAAAGTGTCAAAATAATAAAGTTAACATTAGCGTAATAGCTAAAATTATTAGCGATGGGAGAATAATAAAGAAAATACCATTGGACTATTTTGAGGGCAATACATTTGATAGTTAGTTGAAATAGAGAAAAAACAGAAAAGCTGATGTAACTAATATATAAAAAAAATGTGAGAAACTGCACTTATATCCGTACCTGAAGTAATTAGGACTGTTCAAACAATTAACATGTGTATGTTAAAGACGTTGGAACAAATGACGAAGATATTTTTATAGCACAACAAACTGCACACGAACTGAGAGGAGAGTCATCAATCAACGCGTGCGCACTGTCCCACAGCTGACTCCCGTTTGACCATACTCTAGCGATACCTGATAACGAGAACCCACCAAAACATTGTATGTGCTGATGTACAAGAATAGATTATCTGTTTGTTACGTCTCTAAACAACAATATAATATAGACGAGGAATCGATACAATTAAATAACGATAATTGTGAGTTATTTCAATTTAATCCTAGAACCAATTCCATATTTTTCGGTTTGTGTTTTTCACAATCTTGTGGTTTGATTGCGATAAAATCAATTATTTTAATCATTTAAATTGTAAATTGTAGTAATTCAAGGTTATATAATAGGATCTGTACAACAATTTTTCTTCTCGTTCTACCAAAAATTATATTACGTACGTCAAATTGTCTTTTTACTATCCAAAAGAAAGTAATAATGCTCGCAAAAAGTCATACTTTTTGCTTTTAAAGTCCCAAAGAGGAAATTCTCTTTTTTATTAGCAGTGAGAGCAAAGCTAAAATTATATTAACTTCCAACTGTCTAGCCGTATTGTGAAAAGTTATGGGTTGGGACAAAAGTGCTCGAAATGGGTCGGGGAAATATACCCCAAGATTCGTATTTAGCGACCTTTTCTGCACAGATATATCTTCATGGGTCTTTATTAAAGCGATAACAAGACTGAACATATTAGGATTAATTAATGAACATCCCACGATCAGATAACCTAAAGATTGGCCCTGCGGAACATATTTGCGTCAATGATATCAAAATCAACATTGATACTGATACGCAAATACTTAGACGATAAAATGTTGTTGACAATAGTTACGGTTCAAGTTTTCATTGACACTATAAATAAAGCCTGCGATGGAAAATTACATATACCTACACATAATGAGCACTAATTAGTGTTAGGCAGAGCTAAGTAGTCACATCTAGGGTATGATAGCAAAAATCTTCCAGCTTCTAAGGACGAAGCGATTTCATCAAACTTAGATTAAAAGTTGTTTATTTTTCGTTACGCAACTTTTAAGTCATTATCTCGTCTCATCCACTAACCAAACAGTTATGTCTAGTATACTAACGTCACATTCCATTATCAAATTGCGTCTGAAACTCTAAAACCAGACATAACGTAGGCTAGACAGAAAGTGTTTGGGAATGTTTTTATTTGGTCCTTGCATTTACGCAATGTTTTCGAAAGTGAATTTTGTGCGAGTGAGATGGGTGACTGGAAGTGTTTTGAGAAAGAAAGAGATGTGATGATGGTAGTAACTGCGGCCTTGTAAACGACCTTGCTCCTCGCACCCCCGATCAGACCCCTTGTTTTCTCCGAACCGGCCATTCACCAGGCGTGCGAGAAGGGATGTTGCGCGCGCACTAGAGCCACGAGGTATGCCTATCGATTGAAGGCTTCAGATTCAGATCCTCCGTCTTATGGCAATCAGACACCGCCGAAATATCACCTATTTTATGTGTCTACGCTACAACGGCAGACAGATTTAATGTTTAGGAGACTATCCTAAAACCTTATGTAACGTTTAACTGTTTTCTTCTTACGTTACTTTGTTTTCATTATTGGATTGATTTATTTTTTACAAACGTTTCTACGTTTCTAAATTGTGCTTTTCTTTCTACTAAACAGAAGTCAATTGAAAAGTCATAATAAATGTTAGAGACTCACAATGTTTTGGTTGCATTTACGGTCGAACGGAAAACCAGCTCAATTTTATTGAAGTTAATGAATCGTTCGATAAATTACATTGAACATTAAATGAAGCTCCTTGGAAGTATTTCGAGCAACATTGTTTAATAATAAAAGTCAGAATAGATACGATTAAATTGAAAAGAGAATTTATTAGAATCTCAACACGAACGCCATTTTTTGTAGGATACTTTTATAGAAACATTATTCTATTAGATAACAAGATAAGAGGGCTTATTGCCCCAAAATAAAACAAGATCAAGAAAAGAGATATAAACGTAATAACGTTTCGTAACTGAAATATTTGGATACAAAGAAATAGAGAACAGCTGTTCGGTAACCTTGGCCGTGATACCGTTCAATGGGCAACGCAATTCAACAATTACATGTTCCACGGTCGAGGTCGACTCGTGACGCCTGACACATCAGCCTCATTGGACATCAATTGTCTTGAAGACACGTTACTCCATTACAATAAATATACAAATATAAGACACTGGAAAATTCTAAGTCACAATTCTAAAAGGAAGTCCGATTTTCCTGTTTATAAACTAGTCATTTTGCAGGGAATTAAATCAAAATCTTAGGTGCCAGACATGGCAGACGCAAAATTGATAAATATTAGTTGATTACTCCAAGGTTGATGAAGATAAGATACAATTCTCAAATTAAATTGATAATCTTAAGTCAGACAAACTTTCTAAGGCACGCTATGGAAATTTTGAATGACAAATTGATAAACTGCATTTTATTAGAGTCACTTCGAGCTTACCCAGCTCCATATTTTCTGAGCTAGCATCAAACAATTTGTAGTAAACTGCAAGTCACCAACGTGTGGGCACTTGTTAGTTAAATCAACATAGAAATACAAACAGAATTCCAAGCAACGACTATTGAAGCTGGAGGAGGTCCACATCACAATGAGTAGATTGGAGCTACCGGTTCTGATTCAACAATGCAAGTTATCAATTCATAGATTAATACACAGATCTCGGTCGTTTAAATTAAATCAAGTTGGAGAATCAGCATATCGGGCTGGCAATCGAGTAGAAGTGCGGCGCGGGAGTCAAGGCCGGCTCGGTGGCGCGCTTATGTAACCGAACTGACGGCGGGGGACGGGTACCGCTAAAATTAGCGGGTCTCACACAAACAACACACTGACAAGGCGCATCAGCGCAAACGCACTCGCTACACGCTCTGGGAATGCATTCACACAAAAATTCTAAAACCCACAAAAACGACCGAGCTTCACTCACTTAAGTAAACAAATAAACACTAGAATATGCAAGAACCTCGTGCGTTTCTGTAAATCGATATACCACCACAGCATGAAGATAGGAATCAATATTATGTAAGTAGAATGTTTAGTGAGAATTGAATGCAAGAATATAGACATCGTCATTGTTGTTAATGGAAAAGTTTCGCTTTAAATTAAATCGATCGAAGACTGCGATATTACTTATTTATCGTACTGTCACAGATTTAAACCACAATCGTTTCAATCGGGGGAAATATTTCTCCTACAGTAATCGTCTATGTTTTGATTATATCACATGATAATAAACAGGCACTAGTATGAGAACACATCCACTATTTATGCACTATTCACAGCCACTAAAAGTCGCACTGTTCCTTACCATGATGCGAAAGGTGTATCGATGTGTTGTTAAACAAGTTTGTCTATGTTGAGAGACGCCGCGTGTTACTGAATATACAGTGAACAGCTGATCGGGAGCGAGAGTTCGTCGGGGGCGGTAGGGTGGTCGCGTAGGGTGTACGTTTGCGTCGAAGTCTGTAGCACGAATGATACGCGCGGCGGCGGCGGCGGCGCACTCGTGACGCGGCCCACCTAAACACATACATTACAACGTCGCGCGATACCAACTGATGATAAATTTTTGAGGATAGCCGGTACGCATTCGACAGCCACGCGACTTATAATCGAGTTCACGAACCACCGGTGTTTCTAGTGGCGCCGATCACGAACAGGTTAACGCGATATCACCTTACTACCGAGTGATACCCACATGGCCGGGATGTTTAGTGCTCTGATAACTGATATCCCATTCATAAAATTACTGATAACAAACTGCAAAAAGTTACCAGCATAACAACAAGACGCATTGGGCATCTATGTAGCTAAACTGAGGTTTTAGCTGAAAAATAATATTCAAGTACTCTTAGTTATGAACGATGGCCTAGTTACGAAAGCTAATTGAAACGGAACCTTCGAAGTTGTTGATCGATTTCGAATTATTATTGTAATAAGTTTTGAAGCACTTATTTTAAGAACAATGGCACCCGGACAGGCCACTGAACGCGACACATTTAAACGTAGTTTGTTTCCTGATCAAATATAAGTAACATTTTGAGTGCATTAGTCCTGTTGCACAAATCATTTATCGGTTTAATTACACAATCTTATTACCTTATCTTTATGCAATGATTGTTTCAGAAACCATTCAATGCGGTTACCGAGACCTATTTAGATTTCATTTTGCTGTAGTAAAAAAGTGTTATGATATATTGATTTAACA